AGGTAAAATGAGTAAGATTGCTGCCTAAATCTTGTGGCAATAGAGCAGTGAGATCTCCAAAAATTTGGAACCAATTAAATTCCCAGCCGCTAAGCCATACACAGTCTGTTTACTGAATCTATGCATCACCAGCTGTGCTTCTACTGCTTCAATTTTAAGCCATTATGACACCATCAAGAAACACCTGTTAGAAACCATTTGGTAAAATGTCACAGTATTATAGACTTTTGGAACATAGAGAATGCAAAACTGGAATTAAAGTCTGCATATGTACCAGTGCAATTTTCAAAACAGATTCTCAATTTCTGTTTATTGTATTATGAGATATAACAGTCTGATAACCAGAAACTACAGGCATGGCCAACTGTTTGTATTAACAGAAACAATTTCCAAAATTACTCAGACATTCTATATTCCTTCTAAAGATCTCTTTGTTTGCCTTCTCTTCACTTCTATGAAATAATCTTTTGATTTTTGCCCTTCACAGATGGAAAAAGTGAGGTAAACAAACAGAAACAATTGCTGTGAGGCATGTGACAAATTGCTTCCTAGATTTTATAAATATTTTGCTACTATCTCCTAAGAGAGCAATCCAGAACATGTCTTCTCAAAAGTAAATATTCTTGAATTCTAGGAAGCCACCACCAAGGATAGTCAGTACAAGACAGAACTGTAGCCTTATTCTGCTTTTTCCCCTCACCACCTCCCTGGAAATTTGCTTCACATATCTAGATTTTTGTTCCAAGTGATACAGCTGAGTTTAAAGTAATCCAGGTTTCAGAGCTTTCCCATTATTTTGACAGAAACTAGACTGAATGTGCAAATTACAGTATAGAAGTCCCTATACTGTAATTTGCCATCCTAGCATCTGTTTATTTTGTTTAAACAGATGCTAGGATGGCATTCAGAATATTTCAGCACTTTGGCTAAGATATAGTATCCAAGGCCCAGAATAAAGACTTTGTTTCACCTTCTGTTCCTGCTACAGTCTCTATAGCTGGTTTCCAAGTCATCCCAAGCAAGGTTTTGACATATACTGGATAGTGAAGGTACAAGAAGGTGGTGGAAATCTATAGTCCCATCTACACTGCCATATAATCCAGTTTGAAATGGCATTATATGGTCAGTGTAGACTCAAATGATGCAGTTTAATTGTATTTAACTGCCATATAATCCAGTTTCAAACTGGATTATATAGCAGTGTAGGTGGGGCCAATGATTCTATCATAAGGAATTGGATGCATGGACGTTAGCTTTATATTCAAACACATGGGATTAAATTCCACTGAATTAAATGAGGCTTAATTCTGAGAAGTCGGATATAGCATTCTGCTCTGGTGTTTGTTTTACCCTAGAGTTCAACCAATGTAATTTATCAGTACAATTCCATACATGTCTAATCAGACATAAAGCACATTGTTTTCAGTATTAATTTCCTCCCAGGTGAAGGTGTAGATTACAGCATTGAAGTGCTTAACTGGAGCTGAATCACACCTTTAATTTATAGTAGTACATTTGTACATTTACATATATTGAATTACGCTATTATTTAATTTGTTTGGTTCACTGCAGTTGGCAACAAAAATCAAAGGACTCTGCAGTTTAAAACCTCACATGAACTTGTAAACAGCAGGTAGTTTCAACTAAAAAAGCTCAGTTGGGAAATAGAGCTTTGTTCTTGCATATTAATTTTTTTTCTCTAGAAGAGAAAAATATCCTTGTTTTTTATTCCAAATGTTTTGGCATCCAGAAATTGATTTCATTTTTATTGAGGTTTTAACGAAACTTTGAATCCTTGATAATATGATTTTTTTCTTTACATTTGAGTCATTCTTCTGAGCCATCAATGTTGATGCTGTAATATCAAATATTTTAAACAGTAATATCTGCTAAAATTGACTGGGAAAATGTATAGATGAAGAAGTGTTGAAATTATTCTAGAATACTTTTTATTTTTTAACAAAACTCTCTTGTTCCAAACATTAAGTTGTCCATTTATTTTCCAAACTATTTGTGTATCTTCCATGACATTCTTCCCATAAAACTTGAATCTTAGCTATAATTTATTTCCAGACTTCTGAATGCTAGTTATTAGGGGTGTGAAAATCTTCATTTTTAAATTGAAGTTATATCCAATTAATAAGTTTTATATATACAAACAGATTTTAAGAAACATGGGGGGATGGGGGCACCCACATGAAAACTTAAGAATCAAAACTCACCCAATACTTTTTATTTGAATTCAATAATGCTTGGAAGTCAGTGTTATTTTCAGCACAAGTAAGGTAAGGCCAAAAAGGCTGCAATTCCCCTTTAAATTAAAAAGAGATAGGCTGCCTCTCACTATGAGGAGAGGAGAGCAGCAGGGCGGAATGAGCTGAGTGAGCTGGGACAGAGACTGAGAGAGCACAGAATTATGGGAAATGTAGTTTGGGAAGGCAAGGAGGCCTATGGCAAAGAATTCAAAAGGCTCTGCCTAAACTACATTTCCCAGAATTCTGCTCTGGCTCAGAATGTCCCAATCAGGATAAAAGAGAGATTTATCCATCTGTAGCAGCCATCCAGAGTTTCAAAAATTGTGGAGTATGCAAAGAGGAGGACTGACTGATACTTCTAGTAGGTAAATCTGTGCTGGGCTGGGAAGAAATCCCTGAATGGAAGTTCTATTGGTTAATATGAGAGACATTAAATGACATAGCAGGTGTGGCTTTAAAAATGTTTTTGTCATTTTTTCAAAAAAACCTCCCAAATCAGTAGATGTATGAATATTTCTGAAAGTTGTGTGTGTGTGTGTGTGGGGGGGGGGGGGAATCCTCTATTACCTTGTGTCATTGCATAGAAAATTCAAAGTGATATATTTGATAGTTTTTTTTAAAAAAATGTTGTTTGTGAAATCTGTGGATGAGTGAAATGTTCTGAAACCTGATAGGTCAACAGTGGTAAATGTGTTCTATAATCATAGCAAGTTTCATGTCAAATAGATCTAACAGTGAAGGAGAAAGGAGCCTCTGAAGTTTCTCCATTGGCACAATTACGTAACAAAAAGTAACAAAAAGTAGTTAACTTGTTATAGTTACGATATGGACCCCGCCCAATTTTGGAAACACTTTAGAAATGATTTTTACCCTACCTCCTAATTTCGTAATGAGTATTGAAACATTTTTTTCATTGATTGCACAGGCCTACTAGTTATCAACAGAAGGTTACATTCAAAGCCACTCTTTATATTTTACCTAACTTAATTTAAAATAAAATTGTTAGTATAGCATGAGATTAATATGGGAGAAATCCCATTGTTTATCTGGATTCTCAAGCACTTGTTGATAACTTTGTTGGATTTCTTATCTCCAGAAAATTTACTTACATGCTTCTTCTTCTTATATGCACCAAATTAAAATGGAAAGCTACACAGAACAGTAATCTTTGCTTCAGGGATATATCTAATGACCGACCAGAAAATGTATCTCTCTTTCATTTTCCAATCCTCACAGAGAAGAACCACATAATTTAAAGGAAGTGTGGCAAATAACTCCTAATCCTTACAATTAGTGCTGTCTCAACTGAATGGCAAGACTTCCATAGGGCATTACCAGTGAGGCTTGGCCCATAGTTTTACAAATTGGCAAAATATAGTTTGTGGCAGTTTTTATTTAATTTTTCCCTGGAAGAGTTACTGAAATAATTTTCAAGTAACTCCTCCATAAAAATATTTTCATCTATCTATCTATCTACACACACACACGTACATACACATGTACACACACACACACATTTCACGATCTCTTGTGGAACCCTTGGTGACTTCTTGGTTGAGAAACCCAGGTTTATGGTGTTGAAAAACTGATGGCAGCTTGATCATATAGGGCTCAGTGTTTGGAGCTCAGATGATGGGCATATATGTGGAAATAAACTGAAAGTCATTATTGTTAGGCTAGATCAATATATTCTTCATCTTCTGAATGTCATATTCTACTGTAAAATGTTTCCTACCAGCAAAGCCATGAGAAAGATCTTTCTTTCCTCCCACAAAATTCTTAATTTATTCTTCTTCACATCATCTGACTAAACAATGGCCATTCTATTCTTCTTTAAAGATTTCCAGACATTGCTTCTTCTTCAAGAAATCTGACTCAGTTGTTTAAATATTCAGTCAGGCTATTGAAATGCCAATCCGAAGGTAGTCAATACAGGTCTTGTCTGTCATTCGAAAACTTAATAGTTTAAAGGATTTGTAAGCAAGCTGTTTCATACTGACAAGAACCTGTGTTTGTTGGTATAGAGTAAACATTAACACATTTGTCAATAGTATCTGGATCTGTGTCACATCGGACTTGAGCTATCCCCAGTGCCACTAATTACAGTTACACCATAGGATTTCTACAGCTCCAAATGTGGGTTACAAGGATGATAGAGAGATGGTGGCAAAAATCAACTTGAAATAAATGTCAATGAGAATTGGCTCTTTCAGGGGCTGGTCCTTGCTACAAATTCTTGCTTTGTAGTCTGTCTGTGTAAGAAGATTTTCAGGGACATTTTTTTACATCCCTCCGCACTGGTAAAATCTGGGTGGAGAAGAGGACTTAGTTATAGACATTTCTTTCACAATAAGATTTTTCCCCCACATTGTGTGCCCCCCTTCCTGTCATAGTAATCCCTTGTTAACAATGACTGGGCCTCAAACCGATGGTGACAATTCCTACTATGACTTGTTCCTTGATGGAGGATGTTCACAAGAACATTTTTAGTAACAACAGTCTAACGTGTCATCTTACTATTATTTTGCTAGCTGTGGAGATCTGTAGCACATCTCTTTTTGAATGATGCTGCTGCCACTTTTCCTCCCTCTTTTTTTGGAAGACTAAATGATCAAATTTCTTTATTGATAGGATGGTGATTGGAAAATAAAACACTTTTGCCCACCATGCTCATATAAATCTATCAGCAGCTAGTGATGACGCTGAAGATTATATCTGCAGTTTTTCTCTCTTTCCTGCTTGTAGGCATGGATCTCTTCTCTAATTGCACGGAGGAATGTAAAGCTTTGGGCCACTCGGATCGGTGCTGGATGCCCTCTTTTGTCCCTTCTGATGGACGCCAGGCTGCGGATTACCGCAGCAATCTTCATGTACCCGGTATGGACTCTGTTCCAGACACTGAAGTGTTTGAAACACCAGAAGCCCAGCCAGGGGCAGAGAGGTCCTTCTCCACCTTTGGCAAAGAGAAGGCCCTTCACGGCACTTTGGAGAGGAAGGAACTGGATGGACTGCTGTCTAATACACGAGCGCCTTACAAACCACCATATTTGAGTAAGTACTGTTCCAAAGGCTGCTAAAGTGTATTCCGTTGGTGGGAATCAAGCTCCATTCCCCAGTGTGCTTGCTAGGAGTAGAGAAGTATGCCAGAGGCAATAGGGGGGAAAACCCTGAATCCCTTTGGATTGAGAATCACTGAAGAGAGCAATGTTGATTTTTTTTTTTAAAAAAAAACACCTATGGCATTTTAAATTTACCACTTCTAGGACCTTGTTGAAGATGGATCTGTAAAAACGAAATACCTGTGCTGATTTTTCCTGGAACTGATGCCTTAGTGATTTTTTTCCTAGTAAATAATTAGCAAGACAAGTATTTCTTCATATTTGTAGCTATCTGTGGTGCCTCTTGATTGAAACTTCTTGCTGCACCAAACTGTTTTATACCACGGATGGTTTGTTCCCCTTGAACAAGGCTTGGAGATCATCCTATGTGAGTCATATTTTCCTGCTCTTCCATCTACCTTTTGTTCCCTTGCCCATCTTTCAAAGGATGGAGCTGAATATTCTGTTTTAATGCTTGTTGACAGTGATTGGTATGGTGGTATTTATGTGTGACTAAGGGGAAAAGGTTGGGAAAGTTATTTCATTATTCATTTTAGATTCTTTGCCAAGTGGAATCTGTTGAAGTCATTCTTTGGTCCAAGAATATATATCATTATCTTTACCAGCATATTTATTTTATTGCAAAACTATAAAAAGCCTTCTTTTGATTACAAGTGTGTGTGGTGATTCTTATAATCTGTGTGACTAGATATTTGGAGATCTACATAAAACCAGCCAAACCAATGCCTTCATTTAGAAAGTTGTGGTGGCTGCAAATGTTAAAGGGATACTTCTGAAGTCAAAATGAAAGCAGTGGTTATATCTTTATTCAAGTACATATTCACATGTTCCAGACTTCATTTTGCTTTTTTAGGGTTTTCATTTCATTGCTCTTTCAGTGTTCTTTCTTGGAGACAATCCATTGCAAAGTAGTAGTTTAGTTGCCTGGTCTGTTTCAGTCTATTTCAACTTTTAGACTGAAAGGTTGAGTAGAACAGAAGCTTCTAATTTCAAATTTGTGGTTTATATATTTAGTTACCACCTCCTCATGTTGAAACACATAACTAGTTACAAAACAGCCATCTGGGCTGCCTTTGAAACTTAATGATCTAGAGGAGAAAAGGCATTTTGGAAATATTCAGCTCATGAACCATCCCAAGTACATCCTTGATTCTGAAGCTGCTTTTTAAGCCAAGTGTCCTTTTCACAACTTGAATTCAAATGCTTCAGACACATTGCATTGGATATTTTTTATGTGATGGCACCTAGACTTATTTGTTTTATGGAACAATCAAATACTTCTCTTGAGAAGTATCACAGTTGAAGAGGCATCTGTACACTGACAAATCGATATCAGAGTGTATTTTAAAAGGAGTTTGGAATTAGAAACCATCACTTTCATACAGCTTAGTATTTTTCATATGCCGCATACTGCAAGTCAACTCCTTCTAGTTTATTTTCTTACAAGCTGTGCCTTGTGCCTTTGAAGCTTTTAAACACATCCTAGCTGTATTGGTAATGTGTGTATGTATGGTGTAGATTGTGGCAAGTAGAAGTCAGTTTGGTTTGTGATAATGGGTTTGCACTGCATTTTGTCCTCTAGTTTAAATCTATATCTAATCTAGTAATACATGGCTGGTTTTGTTATATTTATTTGCAGTTTCTATAGCCTTGGCTTTCATATTTTTTAAAGTAGGAAAGAAGAGAAAGCAGTTAAAGAGTACAGTATTTTGCAAGGCTGAGAAAATATTTCACAGTGAATAGGTTGTTGACTGAATGCAACAAGGGGAGAGACCATTCTCAGTTTAATACAGCAGAATTCATACAAGTGGTAACCATAGCAGAGCTAGCAGCTGAGTAATAGTGACCACAGTATGATTAAGTTTCCATTCCCTTGGGGCAGATTGCAGGAAAAATGGTTTAAGAGACATTGAAAGCTACAAAAGGAATTCAGCAAACCCATAATTGAGAATATTGTAAAAGAGTGAAATCTGCAGTTAAAGCATTAATCACACCACTGGCTAGGTTCATGGGAAAACTGTGGGAGAGATGGAGAACTGTTGCATTTTGAAACAAAATACTTTTTATTTCAGTCTTTGTTTTGTTTTTAATTTATGGAAGAATGAGCAGCACGTTTGCTTTATTTGTCAGAACAAATATGTAATGACTATGGAAACATAACTATAGTCTTCTTTCTCATTTAAAGAAAATGCTAATGATGGAGTGAGGTAAATCTAGAATTTGCCTTAAACCCAATTCCTGTGTTCATATCTAATCTTTCGATCCAATTTGTTCCCAAATAAGCCAGTTCTTTTTGTGTTGCGAGAGGTAGGTCTCAGAAACACCTTGCAGAGCACTGGAAAGGGGCAGTGAAAAAACTACAAAGCATAAGCACAACCCACATGTTAAATATGTATTCAGTATAAGAAGCAAGCACCGGTGGGAAGGTGTGAGAAAGAAGTAGGCACTGGAAGTTATTTTCAAAAGAATTTTACTGCATTTAAAAAGGAAAGTTAATTTTTTGGGGGGGGGGGGGTTTAAAAAAAAGCAAGTTATTTTAGTTCAATAAGTTGAAAACAGTGCAAAGGTAGAATATTCTGTGCTCTCTCTCTCTCTCTCTCTCTATATATATATATATTAGGCTTGGGTAACCACGGAAAAAAATGGTTCTAAACTTGTTTTGTTTTTAGGGGGCCCTTGCATTTGGTTTTTTTTTAATAATTCCTAATTATTAAATTATTAAAAATTTCGAAATTTACGAAATTTCGTAATATTACGAATCGATTCGTTAATGGCGGACGCGATTGCGCAATATGCTAAAAAAACCTCAAATGGGACAGGGGGAACTTCTGAAGCTTCCCTCTCCCTCTGTTGTTGACTGTTGGTGTGATAAAACAAACAACAACTATAAAACTTGCACCAGACACGCGAAAATAATTACGAAATAATTATGAAAACAATTTCGAACCAATTACGAAACAATTATGAAATAAATTGAAAAATTAGTTTCGATTTTTAGTTGCTCCTGCATGGCTCAATATTGGATCGTAAGCTAATTTAAATACGAATCAATAACGAATTACGAAATTAACGAACGAAACCGCCCAGCCCTATCTGCTAGGGTTTTTGTTACAGAGCCCCCAATTGATATGAATTAATAATGAATTACGAAATTAACGAACGAAACCGCCCAAGCCTAATATATATATATATATATATATCCATGTACGCACGCATGCACACATACATACACACACACACACGCACACACAAATAGCCACAAAATAATGTATGCCTTCTCATAATATGCAACTTTTTTCTCAGCATGCCGACAAGGGAAAAAAGATAGCAATATTATCAGTAATTATGGTATATTACTTTTAAAATAGTGTTTGTTCCTTATCACCTCAAAGTAATGTATACAGACAATTTGTTACTAGTACCAGTCTGTTGTTGTAGTTTGAATGTTAAACTGGGAGGCTAAGGTTTGAATCCCAATTTGACTATGGAAACACATTGCGTGGTCTTCAGCAAAACACACTTTCTCCACCTGAGACTTCCTCTGAACAAATTTTGCCAGGAAATTCCACAATAAGCCTGGATTAGGATCACTATAAGTCAGAAAGCATTTGAAGACACACAACAACTTTCCCTTGGGTATTTGGTGAAGTTTGCTTCCGGGACTCTCTGGAAGCAAACAAAAAACCCCATTATATACAGTGATGTAGTAAAATGATGTCCCTTAATTAAAAACATGGCAAAACCAAATTTTCTTTCTGGTTTTTTTTTTTTGAGAGGGAGGAATATTTTCAAGCCATGGAAGAATCCATGGATATAGAATCTGTGGATATAAGGGGCCAACTGTATTTTGCTTCCAAGATCTGGAAAGATGATACAGTAAGTGGATGACTGCTCTGCTATCACTAGTAGCTGCGGGTTTAATTTCATCATGTTAACAACAAAATACATATATAGCAACATGTATTCCACATAGCAAGACTGCAAGATATATAACAGATGAATAACTTTACTAAGTAAATAGGAAACATAAAGTAAATTGGTAAAATGACCATTAATTGAAGAAAGTCCAGATTATAATTTGTTAGCATCTGAAAAATGAGTATGTGTTCTGCATTATTTGAAAGGTTTGGTAAGTGCATTGAATTAATCTGTTTTACTATGGATCAGATCAGAGGGTTAAGTACCTCCTGAAGAAGTTCATAGGACAAATGTATGTATTTTATTATTTCTTATCAGGTAAGAATGAAGAGGCTGTATCTGAGAATGAGAAGTCAAGTGACAGATTGCTAGAACAAATTGACACATTAAATAAAAATAAGTTGCTGCTTATGCCAGATGGTGTTCATCCAACAGATGAAAAAATGTTCATCAGAAAAGTTGACTTGGTTTCCAAGTAAACCCAGTCCAAAGTGTACAACATCCATGCTATAGCTAAAATTAAATTTAGAAAAAAACACTTTAAAATACTTTACAATTTTGCAACCATAGAAAATGCAAAGAGCTTTATGCAACCAATTGAAAAATACAGGATAATGCTAGAGAGAAGAACAGAGAGTTCACCTCACATATTTATATATGGCCATCATGCCTCCTCTCAGCCTTTTCTTCTGAAGGCTAAACATGCCCAGGATTACCATTTGTGTTGTGATAGCTCCCTCCACAGCCATTCTATTGCTGGTGGAAAGTGGAAGGATCAAAGAAGCATTAGTCCTAGTTATCAAGACAAAATATGAGAAGAGGAGCTATGTGTTATCAAGGCACAGTCTCTTCACTGGTGTGGAATACAATTCTGTCTACACAGAGGATGTTCTGAACTGGTGGATCTCAACCTTTTATTAAACCAGGGACCACCTGACCAGTGATCACTTGACCAGGGACTACTTGACCTGAGACCACTTTGACCAGGGACCACTCTCCAACATTAGTACAAAA